CCTATAATCCCAGCACTCAAGAGGCTGAGGCAGGAGGATCACTTCGGGTTCAAGGCCAGCCTGGGGTACACAATGGGTTCAGGACCAGCCTGAACTACATAGTGAGATCCTGTCTCAAAAAAAAAGACAGGGTCTCACTAAATCGCTACGTTGCCCAGGCTGGGTTCAAACTTGTGATCCTCTGCTCTCAGCCCCACAGAGTGCTGGGATTACAGGTGTGTGACACCATGTTAGGCTCGGCCTTTTGGATTTGATAACAGCCAGCCCTAATGGGTTGGCCCTGTTCTCAAGGAGCATGTAGATTGTGGGAAAGCGGGACACTGACCCTGAGCCCGTGATGATGAGCTCAAGTGGAAAATCCATTTCATCCCCTCTGACATTTGGCTCCTTGGAGAGCGGCAGCAGCCAGCTGAGCTCAGCCACGCAGGAGGAGTTTGAGGGTCCAAAGCACCGTCTGGCACCACGCCAAGTGCCCAGGATTCCTTTCAAACCCAGGGACCTGAGTTCTGCCCATGGTGTGGTCTAGAAGAGTTGCGGGGGTGGTACAAGTTGATAAATTCAGCAGCTAAAGGGATAGAAAGACCATCAGTCTGGGAGTCAGCAAACCTGACTTTGGTCTGAGCTCTCTCTCTAGCCGGCTCTGACTCGGGCTGGGTCGCTTTCCCTCTGCCCGCTGCCGGTTTCTATGTCTGTAAACAGGGCTGTCACACTAGACTCCCTGTTATCTTTCAAGTCACTGTGAGAGGCCTGTGTTTCCAAAGATGCCTTAGGGCTCTAATCTTACATAGTAAGAGCAGGGTGCCACTGATTGCATTCCCAGGTGAGGGATCTCAGTACATGGTACTCGGACCTAAGTACTCTTCCCTGGGCCTCAGAGTCCCTAGCTGCCTCTCACGCTCCACAACCCTCTCGCACATGTCTGCAGACTGAGTGGACGGCTGGGCTGTTGCTTCTCTGCTCAGCATGGTAGAATTGGAGCGAGCCTGCTGCTGCTCCCATGGGACGCAGATGTCATGTCAGAATGCAGAAGGCTGAGAGATGCCTAAACCACCCTAGCAGAAGAAACATCTCTGGTGCTGAAAAGATGAGAACTGCCCGTTGAAACCACCGTGGTTAGAAAAAAAAGGGGAAGCATCCAACAGCCAGTGCAGCTCTCCAGTGATCTGAAGGCCCCGGAGGAGCGGAGGCTCAGCCCTGAGGTTCTGGCTCCACTGCGATCGGGAAAGGGCAGGGCGGCCACCGTGATCCTGGGCCCTGCCTGTTTCCTCCTGGGGGAGGAGGGCTGGGCCGGGTCTCCCAGCTCTGCCTCCACCATGGCCACTCACGGCTATATAGAAAGGGAAGGTGGGCCCACTGGGGAAGTCAGGCCAGACAGAGACTGTAGCTGCACTTTTATAGGCAGAGAATGAATTCGGGAATTATAAATGATTCCTATCTACTTAGATTCTTGGAAGCCCTTGTCCACAGAGTCCCTTGCAAGTAATATCTCCAAGTCTTTTTAAATGTTTGCCTCCAGACTTGGCCTTCTTGGCCAGCTGTCTCCCTGTGCACCCAGGGTGGTAGTCAGTGACCCAGTGTGGCAGTCAATATTGTCATATGCTGCTAGGAAGCACAGCTAGAGCAGATGTAGCTTGAATCCTAATCCTGCTCTGAAGCACTGGGGGAGTTGGGTAGTTGTTCTGAGCCTGCATTTCTTCTTCAGTCAAAGGAGGGGATAAATCATAATGACTTCATGAGTTGTTGAGTATGAAGTCAGGCAATGTCACACAGTGGCACACAGTAAGTGCTTAGTAAGTATTAGCTATAGTAGTCACTTAGTAAATCTTACCAATTTTCTCAGTCTAAAAAAGACCATCGAAAGGAGTGGTGAGGAGCTGGGGGCAGAGGAAGCATTCTTGATAATGTAGGGTGTCCTGCTGCCCCAGAATGCTTTCCACTGTCCCTGGGGAAAGGGGTGGGGCCACCAGCCCACAGCTGAGCTCAGAGGACAGAGGACAGAGATGCCTGCATCTGTCCCCAGAATACGTCTGACATGTGAAAACATTCGTCAGTAAAAGTAGAGCTCTGTAGGGAGGATAATACAAAATTACTAACTCACTGATGCAAACGATTATTTTGAAAACAACTAACTGGAGTCTATTAGGCAACAGACGATTAACCACTTATTTTCAGAGTAAATGGTGTCTGTTTCAACATTGTCAGGAAGGGAGGGAAGGAGGGAGCCCCTGCGAATGTGGACAAGTGGTTCCTCTTCTGTGAAATGGGCCTGTCAGGACTTTGGTCAGGAGGACAGGTCCCCGGACCGCTGATTTGCATGCTTTAGTTAAATGGGTCCTTTGGCAGCTGCCTACCCAGCAGCCATGGAACAGTTTGGGGGACAGATGAAGATGTTTGTGGAGGTCCTTTCAGTCCTACAAACACAGGCATTTCATACCCTGGCCCTCCTGGTCCCAGGGAGCAACTCCCAAGTTGCCAAGAGGTGGGGTTTGTGGAGCACATACCGCTGGCCCCCCAACCCGTCACCCAGGTTCCAGGAGGTCTGGTCTGAGCAGGTGAGCCTAGGTCAGAGCTCAGAAGAGAAACTGGCCAGACTAGTTCAGCTGCTTGTGGCTGAAGGTGGGGGGCACCCCTCGAGGCCGGCTGGCAGCTCTGGTCCGCCCTGCACACTGGTGAGCGGTCTTGAGGCTCTCACGAGCACAGAGAGAATCTTAGTCAAGGCTTTAAGTGCTGGGAGGTCAGGAGTGTAGGAGAATTGGGACAGCTTACTGGTCAGCGTCCCTGGCAGATGCATAGACCCCAAGAACTGGAAGGTTACCCGCCTGAAGGAGAAGGGCTGGGCGGAGAGGAGGCTGCAGTGGTGCCAGCCATGGGATGGCATTTTCTTCTCCTTTTCCCCTTCCCTGTTTTCTCAGCCTCCTCAGCAGGCTGTTTGAAGGTCTCAATGGTCTCCAGAAGGCCCCCCCAGCTCAGAGGAGCCCGCAGCTGCCTGCCACTCGCAGAGCAGCCCCTGCCCCCGTGGGGAGCCGCTGGGCGGGCGGCTTGTGGCAGGCAGAGGTTGGGAGAGGGAGCGAGGCCGGGAATGCCGCCTGGGCTTGCGGGCTGCAAGAGAAAGCCTGGCTGTGGTTGCCTAGAGAGGAGGCTTTGGTTGCCTGGGCAGGGGCTTGGGGAGGTCCGGGGCGCTCCAAGGCGGAGGGTCTCCCAGGTTCGGGTGTCTGTGCCCTCGAGGCCGGGGCAGCAGCAGCAATCCAGCAGGGTGCCGCGGGCTGCTGCGGGAGGGTAGTTTTATTACAGACGATGCGGGCCTGCAGACAGGCTGCCAGGGAGCAGGAAACGACAGGTGATGTAGGGATGGAGACCATGGCCAGAGCTGGCAGGGAGAGAGAAGGAGACCTGGGCGGGTGTGTTTCCTGGAAACTGCCTCTCTCCAGCGCTCACAAGCCCGCCCCATTCTTCTCCCCCTGTCTGGAGCCTTCCTCGCTGTCTCCAAGAGCAGGGCTGCTCAGAGGCCCCCTGTGTGGTGCCGAGGCCGCAGATACAGGGCGTAGAGAGATCCCCGTCCCTCACTCCATCGCCACCACCTCAGGGCTGGGCCTCACCCCAGCAGCAGGTGCGGAAGGACCGTAGCCCGCCATCTATGTGGTCTAACTGCTCCCTAGTAGGCTCCCTCTGTCTGTCTCTTCACACACGCACACACACACACATACATGTATGTGTGCTCACTGGGGAGTGAGCCACTTATACAGTGTTTGTCGCCGTGTCCCCTGCCCGCCACACCCTTGGAGGTGACCTCCACTGGTCACCACCTTTCTTTCCTCTCAACCCCGTTAAACTCGTGAGCAGGTATAATTACGTGCGAGCTCGACACCAGGACAGGAGGCCTGGCGCCTGGAGGGGCAGCTGGGCACCCAGGGGCCATGGAGCCAGCACTGGGAATGGGTAGCAGGCTGGAGAGCCTCCATGTCCTGCCCTGGCCGCACATACCTGCTGGGAACCTTAGCAGCTGGGATACTGCTTCCTATGCCAAGACAGGCAGGGCAAGGCTGGCCGGCGAAGGGAGCTGGTCACTGTGTCGTGGGCTTGGTCTGACACCTTCCATGCGCCTCCCGTCCCCTCTGTGTGCCCCTTCCCTTTGTGCCAACCAGCTTCTCTTGGCCAGGTGCACAATGGTTGACCCCACTGAGTCCTCCTGTCCCACTGTACAGGTGAAAAACCAGACACTCTTATACTCCTCGCCTCTGCCCTCTGCCTGCCCCACACTGTCTCCTCCTACGCCCAGGTCTCCCCCACCAGCGGAATACTGACTTATGCCTCCCCATGTCTGGCTACTCTGTCCCTCCTGCCGTCTCCCCATCTCTGCACCAGTTTCCATCTGCCTGGCCTACCGAAGTCTTCCAGAACCATCTCCGCTCCTTCTCCCATGTCGCCCTTTGGTCCAACCCCATCTCTCTGTGGGTGCCTTTGCTTTCTCCTTGTCTCCTCCCCCTGCTGTGAGCCACCAGCTCCCAGGGGAGCCTGAGCTCTCCAACATAGGACTACCAGCCCGCCAGTGCATTTCCTCACAGGCGGCTCAAAACACTACCGAGACTGCAGAAGCACACACATAGTCACCTGCGCCTAACTAAGCTGTCACTCCCACCATCGATTCTGACCTCAGCATGGGTCAGGAGGAGTCCTTTAAAAAATAAAAACAAAGCAAGAAAACCTCTTCATGCTCAGCACCTAATCCAGAGCGGTGCACACAGTAGGTACACAATGGATCCCAGATTTGGTGGAAGCCCTGCCCCTCCCTGCTTCTCCTCCCACTGAATTTCTGTGAATACAGAGGTGCTGTGGTGACAAGAGCCACAGATGCCAAGCTAGACACACGGGGCCCTGTCCTCGGCACATGGGCTGAGGCGCAGTGGTTTCTGCAGGGCTCTGCTGTGGCCACCGCTGAGAGGTTCCAGCCGCAGCCTGGGGTCCACCCTGTCTCCATGGCCCCGGGGTGTTGGTGCACATGCCAGGACGGCAGCGTGTTGCTTCATGAGGGATTCCGGGCAGAGCTGGGGAGAAAATCGCCAGCGCAAGGTTAGGATCCAGGCTGAGGAGACAAAGGGGCAAGAAACTTCTTAGAAGCTAGGGGGGTCTCAAGGCGCGGGTACAGGTGCTTTAGCCCCCAGGGAGGACCGTGGGGAGCCTTGATGGCAGCCCGGGGTTCCCTCCTTCGCACTGGTTTTGCCAGTTTCAGGGCAGGAGGAGCAGGGCAAGGCAGAGGGGGCCCAGGGTGCCAGGATTCGTGTCTTCTCCACGGTATCTTGTCTTTCAGTCCGCGTTGAATCCTACTGCTCTCTCTGGGCGGCAGAGGGGCAGCCTTTAGGGTCCTTTCTCGCTAAGACCAGGCCCACGGCTTGGCAGTATACGCTGCTGATGGGCTGTGAGACGTTTTGCTCAGGAGTGGAGGCACTCGTGTGCGCCCTCAAGGGGGGGTACCATCCTTAAAACTGACAGGATCGCCGCCGACTCTGCCGCTTCCTGGATGGGTGACCTTTGGCAGGTTACACAGCCTCTCTGGGCTTTTTTGTCCTCTTTACTGGAGCAAGTTGGAGAATAAAGGAAGAAATGTTTGTGTGCTGAGGGGCCTGCCCCCACTGGAGCTCCCAGAGGGACCTACTCTTTTCATGGGTGGCGTCCCTCCCCCAGCCCTGAGGCCCTCCACACTCCTCCCCCGACCCTAGGCTTAGCCGTCACTAACCCGCCCCCACGAGCTAAGCCATCCCTGAGGACCCAGCGCGGCGCCCTCTGCTCCAGCTCTTGCAGTCTTCTCAGACCAGCTGTGGGAGGACGGTGGGGATTTTCCAGTTCCAGGCAGACTGGCCTGTGTCCTTCTGAGCAGGCCGCGCCGCGCGATTCACCTTGTGAGTCTGACAACATCCGAATCGGTCTAGACCCTGTTCAAGGAGATGAGCTTATTGACAACTTGCTTGGGTGTCACAGCAAGGACAAATTTACTTTGAGGTTTCCAAATGCTTGCTCTCAAGTTTTGCGGACCAATAGCAGACAGTTTGCAGGGGGCAAACCAACCAGTCTGACCATCCCAGCTGCCACCTGAGTAGCGCTCATCTGAAGCCCTCCGTCGGGGCCGGACTTCGCGGCCTGGAGTCCCCGGTTCACTGCGTGCATCCGTCTCTTGCCATGCCCTCTCTGCCTGTGTATCTCCATTGCAGGGACCTGAGCGGTGCTGGAGCTCTTCCTCGCCGCTGAGACTGGGCTGATGGATGTTACATGGGTAACAACGTCTAAGAGAAGCAGGAGAAACCCCTCGTCCTACAAGGGCTCACACAAAGTTCCCATGACTCGGCCCCAGCCTGGTTCTAGCCCTCGTCCTTCAGCTCACCCGAGACAGAGGAGCCCAGCTTCTCCAGCGTGCAGAACAGGCTCCGCCTCCTGCCTCGGAGGTGTGGACCCTGAGGCACTGTGCGGAGAGGCTGCCACCCCCTCTCCCAGTGGCCACACCGGCAGGGCACCCTTCTTGACTTTGCTTGGTCTCCCTGGCACACCTCACCCTGACCAGCCAGGACCAGGACAGCGCCAGGGAAAGGACCTCCTATCTGCCCAGTTGGCCAGGAGGGGCCCCTCCTGTCAGTCTCCTGCCGTCAGACTGAGGCCAAGAGGTGGGAAATGACTGCTCAAGGTCACGCACAATTTACCAGACACGAGGCAACTCGGGCCTCTTCCCGTCCGGAAGGCTTCTCCCTCTGTTCTCCCGTTCTTTCTGCGTTCCCCACCCGCATCCCGTATAGACAGCAGGCAAGTGCCTTCAGCACATGGAGATTTTCCAGGGCAGGGTTTCCCGTGGTCAGCACTACTGACGTTTGGGGCTGTTCTCTGTGTGCGGGCTGCCTTGTGCATTTTAGGGTGGTGGGCAGCACCCCTGGCCTCCACCCACTCAATGCCCGTAGCTCTCCATCAGTGATATCCAAGAATACCTGCAGTCGTTGGTTCTCAGTGTTCCCTGGGGTGCACAATGGCTCCCCACGAGGACCACGGGGCTCGCTCAGTTCATCCCCAGCTGTGGTGAGCATTAAAAGTGTTACGATTCCTGAGCTTCCCAGGGCCTACTGAGCCCACACCTCTAGGGTGGGTTCTGAGAAATGGAATTTTCTTTCTCCCAGCTCAGAGGCCAAGATGGGCTGGATTTTCTCATTCACTTTTACAGGCAAAGAAACAGAGGGTGCAGTGGTTATGTCTAACTTCTGCCCTAAATATCTGTCCCCTAGTCCTTATGCTTCCTTGCGTGATCTTGAGGGTCAGGGGCTTCTCCAGGAGAAGCACTGCAAACGCTTAAGGCGTTTCTGTCAGACGGAGCCTGCTTCGCAGCCTCTGGCGATCTCCCCTTCCCTCCAGGGCCGCTTCGAACCCCTTTGAGTGCCGCTCCCTTCCACTGCAGCACCCGAAGGGCACCCCCCACACGCACTTAGCACCAGCAGCTGAGCTGAGAGCCCAGCTGGTGGTGTCACCTGTGGGGCTGGCGTCCTGACACCTCAGTTCTGTTTCCTGCCGCCTGAGGGAAACTTCCAGGTGTCTGGGAGCCTTTCCCAGCTCTGAGCTGCGTGGCTCCCAGGGACGGGCTCCAAGCCCGTGCCAGGCTCCCAGCCTCTCTGTGAGAAACCGACTTAGCCCTTCTTAGTCCGTTCTGCTGCAAGGCTGTAGTGTCCACCTCCCAGTCCCACCCTCCACTGTCAGGGAGCCAGGCTGCAGCCAGGAGCTAGAGGTCAAGAGGCAAATGAAACCCAGACCTCCCTCACTCCTGAGGGCTCCAAGCTTGTGAAGAAGAGGGTGGAGCAGGGGAGAAGAAAGAGCCAGGGGTCGGGACCGCTCCAGCCCTGTCCTTGCAGTCACCATGGTAACAACTGTGGGCAAGTTACCATGTCTATATGCATCAGCTTGTCGCGTGTGCAAGGGTAGATGGCAAAGGCTTCAATTTGGGGGGAGGTTGAGAGGACTGAGCAAGAAAATTCAGAGTTTGTTATTGGGCAAGCTTTCAGTGGGAGCAGAAAGGAAAAATGGAAGGAGGGAGGGAAGGAGATAGAGGGGGAAGAGAGGGAGAAAGGAAGGGACAGAGAAAAGACTGAGAGATGGGAGGGAAAGATGGGGAAAGAGGAAGGAGGTAGGGGAGAGGCAGCAGCGAGGGCCCCTAAGCTCACATCACACCAAGAGAATGAGTGTATGAGAGGCAGGGAAGGAGGCAAGACGGGCCAGGCGGGAGCGGTGCTCCGAGGCCCCCACCTCCACGCCCGTTAAATCCAGCTCGCGAGGTGATGCTACGCCGCTTTTGCAGGTGGCTGCAACTTCCTGGAAGCAGAGTGGTGATGGAGAACAGGTGAACAGGGACAAGTGTGGGACAGAAAGACAGTTGGGGAGGAGGGAAGGAAACAGTTTTCGTAGAAACAGGTAACGGGTGGCTCGTGTTTGTGCTCACCGCGCATGCGCCCGTGCTCTTTGTGTGCTGCACGCACAGGAGTTTGGAGTGCCCGCGTTTCACCGGTATTACTCCCATTTACAGATGCAGATTTCAGTGATTTGCCCGGGGCCACACAGGTAGGAAGGTGCAGATAAGACAGTGCAGCACGGATCTCTCTGGCCCAGAAGTGAGATGTCTGAATTTCTGCCTCCTGTGGGTCCTGGGACCAGACCACGCTCTGACCTGGGAGGGAACCCAGGGAACCCAACACCTTTTTCACTTCCCATTGAGGAAACCGTTGGGAGCGGGGAGGAAGTGACTTGCCCACAGTACCCCAGCAAGTCTGTCAGGGTCAGAAGAGGACCCCAGCTCCACCCTCCCCACCCCGAAGCACTGGTTCCTTCAGGACACCATCCTGGAGGATGGTCATGCTGGGAGCAAAGACCGGGAGGAGGAGGGTGCCCTGGGCAGGAGGAGGGGAGAAAATGAAGAAAAGAAGTGAACGTCGGATTCCCCGTGGACCCGTTACTGGACCCCATGCTCTAAGGAGTGAGAACACGCAAACCCATCTGTTCATACATGCACTCATCTATTCATTCGCTCACATGTATTGGGGCCTAACTGTGTCATCCCCACCGAGGGTACAAAAATAGCCAAGCACAGACCTTTCACAGGATCCTGTAACCCAAAGGGCATGTTCTCGGATCCTTAAAGGGCCAAGGTAGACTGCAGAGCTGGGGATGGGTGAAGCAGGTGACCGACAGGTGCAGTCCTGCCAGGAGGCTGCCTTGGCTGGGCAGAGGAGTGTAGGAGCAGGGCTGGGAGCGGGGAGAGTCCTGAGCCCAGGGGCCCCAGAGAAAGCCTGGAGGTGGGGAACACCCAAGTTGTGCCCCTCCCTTAACGGTAGGCAGATTCTTTTTGTTCCATTTTTCTTCTCTGTACAACAGCAATTTAAGTTAATTAAATGCAGCAGTAAGTTATTTCTTGTCTGCCTGCAATAATCTTGCACTGCTCACCCACTTTTGGAGGAAACGAGGCTCTTTGCCTTGGGGTGGGGGCAGGCTGTGGCTGTCACAGAAAGAGGCTGTGGGGGGACAGCTGGTCTGGGTCAGGAGGGACCGAAGGGGCTGCTGTAGGGGAAAAGTCTTTATGCAGTCAGGAGCCTGAGAAGGGACACGTGGCATCACTGCTGTCTGTTCCTGGTCTACCCTCTACCCTGGTTAGTCTTTAGGGCACTTCTGTGTGGGTCAAAAAAGATACAGGTGCTTCCTGAGGACCTCAGCTATGCTGGGCACTGCTCACAGACCCAGTCCTGACCAACCCCCTCCACCTGACACCCCTGTGCTGGGCAAGATCTGTGACCCGCTGCACATGGGCCCTGCCCTCCCTGTATCCGGGAGGCCCCATGGCTACAGAGGTACAGACAGTATTTAAAGAGTTGCTGCACATACATTTTATTTCTGAAAACTAGATCCTAGTTTTAAGTGCAACAGGAGCCAACTTGGTAAAGCAACTGTGACTTGGGAGCCCTCCTGGCTTTCACATCTAGATTTGCTTCTCTTGGCTTTGTTAGTCAGAAGAGGCAGAGGAGCTAGGGACCCAGACCTGAGGCAGCAGGGGGCAGTGTGGGCTGGAGGAGCTTTCTGCGAGGGGTGGGGGGATCACTAGGGAGAGCCCGGACTTTAGGCGCACTGGGGAGTCAGGGGCCTCCCTTGGCCCCAAGCCAGGGTACCTACCCGTGGTCTCCTAGGCCGTGGAAAGTAACAAGGCCCAGCTTTATCCTTGACCTACAGAGCTGCCTCACAGAGCGGGGACTCAAATTCCCGCTCCAGGCCTCGGTTTTCACACCTGCAAATGATGAGGTTGACAGGCTGTGACACTGCCAGGCCTAGGAGGCCAACTTGGCACTCCCGGCCTTCTGATTCCATCTCAGCCCTGTCTGGGGTGCCTCCGCCCACGTATACTGGCCACCCCCCCGCCCCCTCCACGCTCAGGACCCCACTCCCTTGACTAGGAGGCTTTCTCTCTCCTCCAGGCTGTCCGCATCTATGCTGCCCATGCTCTGCCCACTTCCTCCTGGAAACCCACCCCATGGTCACGTGATGCAGCCCCCACCTGCCCTGCGAGTGGTTGTGCTCACCTTGTCCTGCTGTTACTCTCTTTCTGTGTGAGTTTGTGTGTCCTGTGTTTGCGTGTCGGCGCGTGTTGTTCCCATCCTTGTCTGAATTCCTTTCTTTTTTGTCCAACAGGTACTTAGCCCCAGACTCTCTTTTTTTCATCACTAGTATTGAATCCAGTGCCTCCACACTGAGCTGTACCTCCAGCCCTCGTTTGTTTGCTTGTTTTTGAGATAGAGTCTCATTAAGTTGCTAAATTGTCCACCCTGCTCAAACTTGTGATCTTCCTGCCTCGGCCTCTCAGAGTATTGGGATTACAGGCATGTGACACCATGTTTGTCAGCCCCCTGGACTCCTAGAATGGAGAATCCTGGTACAGTAAGGGGCTAGAGAATTCACTAAATCTGGTGGTTTTAAAAACAACACAAAACTTTCCTCTTACCCTGGAAAGCTCCTCCACAAAGACAACTTGCAGCAGAAGGCAGAGCGGATGACGGGGCAGGGAGGCCGGGGACCTGTGCAGGAGGAGCAGGGCCTGGGCAGAGGAGGACTCTGGGACCCCACGGAGCGAGAAGTGGTGATGACTATGCTGACACGTGCAGGAAGTGAAGCTTCCCAGCGTCTCTTCCCTCCCTCCCCCAGGAGGTCCACATCCCTGTGAGGTGGGGAAGAGAACCTAAATTGTCCCTGCTTCACAGAGGAGGAAGTGGCATCCCAAGGGCCAGGTGACTAATCCAAAATCACACGGTCTGTGGCAGGACTGCGCTGAGCACCCAGCGGGAGGGTGGGGGATTTGGAGGATCGTTCTAGGACTGCACCCATGGCTGTTAGATCAGCTCCGTCCTGCCCCCGCGAGTTCTCCCAGCTGAGCATGGGAAATAACTGGGAAAGGGGAAGGAAGCTGGCCCCTCTCCTTGTTCCTTGGGAGCTTCTGGGAGGTGGGGGCAGCCCTAGAGGCCTTCCGGCCACCCTTCCCTCTTCCTGTGGCCCTTTGGATCCTTCTGCAAAAGGTCAATCGCCGTATCATCCCCCAAAAAGAAATTGCACTTCTGTACCTTAAAGACCAAACTGAGCTTCAGCAATGTAGTTCTTTATGGCCCCTAATAAGCATTTCCTGGGTGTAGTTAACCTTTATGCCAAAGTCACGCTGGGAATTCGGATGGCAGCTTCGATTCTGTGCTAGCCTGGAGGCAGGAGGGGGCGGCGGCTGGTGCGGCAGCTGTCGGGCTCGTCTGCCCATCCACCCGTCCACAGGTTCCTTGCAGTTCCCTCTGTGAATTTCCCCTGCCTGTGCTTTGCCCTGCCAGAAACCGGCCGGGCTGCAGGCACCACCTCGCCTCACTTCACTCATCGACTCCAAGGGCAGACGTGGGCCCGGGCTCCACGCAGCTGCTGTTTGAGCCTGGGCGCCTCAACCAGCCCAGCTGCAAGTGGGGAGATTGGGTGGAGCCCGCCCTGTTGCTTTCTACCACACACTGCTGTGTCCGGCTCAGCACCTGCTGTACCTTTGGGCAATCGTCCTAGGTGGTGCTGCAGCGCATCCCTGTCCTCAGATTTAACCTTCCGGGTGTGGAGAGACTTGTAAGAAGACAGAGATTTATTTGGGCCCCGGGGGCGGGGCTGCCAGGCTGGGGTACAGCAGAGGGGTGTTAGCTACTGAGGGAACCTCGTGCTCTGCCAGCTTCCCTCGACCAGTACCATCGTGGCGTCCCTGATAGTTGGAGAATGGCAAATCTCATGAATTCCTGAAAATTGGCTTGTCAAATGCAGAGTTCGCCAGGTACAGGGTGAGGGTAGGGAAAAGATGGGCAGTAGCTGCAGCTAATGACAGAGTAAAGAGGCCAGGGGCAAGGGTCCAGGGAAGTAGTGTTCTTAGGCCCAAAGCACTTTGGTGGAAGGTAGGAGTCCAGCTTGGTGAAGACCAGGCCTCGAATGTGACCCATTCACCATGTGTCCCCGCCTTGGTTCTTCTTTCCGGGTACCAGCCCTTGCTGAGGAGCGGAGGAAATGGTGTGCCCTCTCCATCACAGACACATGCACTTAATGCAGAAGTCCACACTGCACCCCCCTTGTGTTTCTGTGGACCCCACATTGTGTCCTCTGTAAGAAACAGGCAATACCCTCGGAACTGTGGGGACCTGTTCCTGCTGGCGCAGTAGCTACCTGCAGATGGAGAGAGAAAACTGTAGTGAATGCCGAGAGGAGATCAGCAGACAGTGGGAAGACACGGACAGGAAAACTCTGGACTCTTCTGGAAGCGTGATTCAAGAATAACCAGAGCCCTTTATGAACCTTAAGAGCAAGAGAGGGGCGCAGGCAAAGATCCCGCTAAAGCCAACCTTGCTGGAGAGAAAAGGCTGGCTTGAGAATTTTAAGAAGCAGTTTCCTTTGCATAATGCAGCACAGGTCCTCTGGATAGAAAATGGCTTTGTGAACCGGCACATCTGAGAAGACGACAAAAGCTTTCAGGTGCGGGCAGCCAGGGACAGACGAGCCCTTCACGAACCCTGTGGCATTCGGCTTGGTTTTGTGATGAATGTAGATTTGCTTTGCTCTCCGGCGAGCCCCAGGACATAAGATGCATGAACAGAGCTTCTGGCCTGTGTATGTGCCATCCCGTTAGGGCCTGGGGTCGTGGGTGCTTGGTACTGGACAGGGACTCGTCCAACCTCCAGAGTCGAGACTGCTGAGCACAGGGCCCAGCGCATACACAGGGCACTTTGGGGGCGGGGACACACTCAAGAGGATTCTGGGTGGCTTTGCTTTGGAGGGCTGGGGAGGGGCCCTGGACCTGGTTTCTGAGAAATGCAGAGTTCGCCAGGTATAGGGTGAGGGTAGGGAGCAGGGTGGGGGGTGAAAGCCACACAGGCGGGGTACACAGACTCGGAGGGCCGGCGTGCCGAGTTATTAGGGGGACCACAGCATGGTGTGCCTTCAAGGGGGAGTGGAAAGAGGGAGGCACGAACAGAGGGTTAGAGATGGTGAACAATGGTGGGATGTCAGGCAGAGCAGCTGCTGTTTTCCAAGAGAGTGTTTCCAGTTTCTTTAATTTGCGCGTAGTTGGGCTGAGTCTGATTCTGTGCATCCATGTGCATGCGCACGCGCGCGTGTGTGCATGCGTGCGTGTGTGTGCGTGCGTGTGCGCGTGTGTGTGTGTCGGGAGGTGAAGCGGACAGGGCCAGGGAGAAAAGCTGAAGGCAGGATACAGTGCCCTTCCAGAAGAGGCCTCTGGTCACAGGCAGGCCGCTCATCTCTGGGGCGGGAGCAGCGCCTGGTCCCCGTGACTGCTGAAGGAGCAGTTCAGCTTTGTCACAAGGATGCTGCTGCTGTCTGCTTCCCTGGCAGGTCCGCTGGCTGGCCTGGCGGCGTCCTCCTCTCTCCACCTCTGTGTTTGCATTGAAAAATGAGGGTAACGCTATTTCTCCACCTCTCTGGAGACTGGAGTTTAATTACTGATTAATAAAGTGTTGGAATTTTCTCAGGGCCGGAGAGATGAATGGGTTTGTGTTAATCACTGCTGAGGCCCACAGTCAGGTTAGCTGACCCCCGTGTGATTTGGGGACTGTCGCGTGGGCTGGGCACAGGGTGAGGGTGTGGGGCTGGCCGCTGCTTGGGAGCCTGGAGATTGGTCCTGAGAAAGCAGAGAGACCCCCCACCGAGCCAGGCCAGAGGAATGTGCCAGGGAGGGAGCAGAGCGAGCAAAGTCTGCTAAGGACTCAGGCAGCCACTGAGGGAACCGTGTGATTCCGAGAGCCCTAGGGGTCTTCTTGCAGGAGGGAGGGGAGCAGGCTCTGCCCAAGAGTGAGACTGCGCCATTCCAGCCCGGGTGCAGGGAGGGAGACAAGGCAGCAGAGCCTGGCTTCATCATGGGTCTATGGGGGGCAGGAGTTGGTGCCCTGGTAGGGGGTGCTGAAGGGAAGGGGCGGGGGAGGACATTCCTGGCAGGTGCCCGGCCTCTGGAAAGGACAGCAGTTTGGTTCTAAGGGTGGGAAAAGGTCCTGAGGTCCATAGAGGATGAGCAGGAGGGGCCCAGGAGAAGGGGCAGGGGCAGCTGTGGGCTCACCATGATGGACGAGGTGGAGGCCAGCTCAGGAAGCGGGTTGTGAGCAGGACCAGGACTGGGGTGGCATGAGTAGGTATTCTCCTCAAGCACAAGAAGCCAGGAAGGACAAAGACATCAGTAATCTCGATAGGGTAATATGATTGCTGATTTTTTCCCTGTCGTCCCAAGCTCCAGTACTGCCTGTTACTGAGCACTTGTGTGTGTGTGTGTGTGTGTGTGTGTGTGTGTGTTTAAAGTTTTTAATAATACTCTGTTCATCATGGATTTTTATGTTCATTCAGATTTTTTAAAAAAAAATTGCATTAAAATGGTACCTGAAATGTCTCAAATCTTGACTCCTAAGTTTTTGACACCTCTTTACTTTTGCACTCACTTCATCTTCATCCAGGTGGGGTCACCTGTGAAGGTTGCACGCTGCCTGACCCTAGATAGACTAACAGCTCCCAGGACTTGGACATGGCCCTACCTCTGTGGGGAGGGAGGTGTGCCAGTGAGGGTCTGTGAG